ATTACAGTAGGTTTATGGATACTCTTATCCGTTATCACTTTTCCTACTAAAGCACCACCATACAGCTTCCGGTTCTCACTATTCTTCCAAATTAACTTCACTTCTTGACCTTCAACGTCACGGTCATTGTTGCTCAAACCTCCCCTGCCTTCCATCTCTCGATCCACCATTCCTCCAATCTTCCGAGAGAACAAAACCTCACCAATACCTCACTGTCACAATGCGCAACAGATCAGCTACACTCTCTAGTCTCCGTCGCAGTGGGCGGCGGAGTTCACACAAATCGACGATCACCGTCGTAACCACCTCTCACACAGGAGAGAGAAAGCTCTCACTTAGGAGAGGAACTTTCGTCCAAGAATGACCTAACGAGAAGTTAATGAGCTAGTTGTTCGTATTAAGACTTTTTAATTTATGATATATGTAACGTATTAAGCATATGAAGAGTAATAGTGTATAAATATATCCGGAATAAAGAAAGAAAGATTAATGCTTTTATAAGCACATAATACTACATATCCATACGTACCGAGCATATTTGCAGGCACTCATTTAATATTATGCCTAAAATTTGTTCAAGTACTTTGAGAATACTACCTCCACTTTTTAATATAAGAGTGAGTCGACTAATTTAACTAAATTAAAGAAATTAGTTAAGTTAGTTATTCATAAACATGTGTTTTCTTTCCTAAAATATCCTTTCTAATAAAATGTATTGGCTAGAATTATCATTATTATAAGGACTATCTTTAAAAAAATAGATAAATATGATAGACAAATTAAAATAGATTGGGATTTTATATTTAAAACAAAAATAAAAATAAAATAAGCTCTTATATTAAAGACCATAGGTAGTATTGCCAAACAAGTCCCACACCCATTACTGTTGATGCGCTAATACTTGATAGGGAGTGTACTTGATGATATACACACACTAACTCATATTCTTAATATAATTAAGAGCTTATTGGAAGTATAACTTAATTTAAAATATAAGACTCATATTTACTTTGTTTTTAATATTTATTCATTTTGCCTTTAAATAATTCTTTTATGAGGATTACATATGTTAAAATTTTTTTTTTTATCAAAGAGTAGTTTCAATATACATAATTGATAGGAGTACTTTAAGAAAGACAATATTTATTTAAGTTAATTAATTTGATTAACACCCTCAAATTAATTATTTTATTTTTATATTAAAAACGAGATAATATATTAGTATTAAATTACTAAATGAGAATGATGAGGAAAAGCATCTGTCTGGGTTTTTTCACTAATACCCGATAAATAAATAAAAAATTCCCCAAAAACTACATAATGGGAATTATTTCCCCAAATGTTACAGTCAAAGTTGTTCAAGGCTTGAACAACTTTTAAAGTTCATTTAAGCAAGAATGAGTTCTTCAATAATTATCGTTTTCTATGTAACTGAACTTCATCTTGGTCTAAACAACTTCTAAACTTCATCATTAGGAGTGATTTGATTATCACTTAAATAATGATAATAAGTAATGATTAGGTTTTAAAAAATTAACAATAAATAATGATTAAATTGATATGAACAAAAAATAAAAATTAATTTACCTTATAGATAAAGACTTTTAGTATTTCTTACCCATAAAAAAGACTTTTAGTATCATGTCTTGCTCTCCTCCACATGTTATGTTTGTATATTCACTTTTTCTTGAATTTAGTCGAATGTCTCATTTATCTATATAGTTGGTGTAGTTGGCCCATACTGAAAAAGTGAAATTGTCTTACACAGTAAGTCCTACGCTGAACTCATTCTTGATAAGAAAGAGTTATTCAATCTTTAACGTAAGATCCACTGAATGCGTTCTTAGTAAGAACGAGTTTTTCATGAATAATTTAGACCCGATCACTTCCTGAATAATTTTAAAATGTAGCATATCCGTAAATATTTTTTTATGCCATAGCATTTGAGTAAAATAAATTACTATTTAAAGTACATAAATAAAAAAGCCAAAGAACCACGATTAGTTATTACATAATTTTTTTTGAAGTTGAAAGTTAAAAAATAATTTTTATTTAGGATTTTATAGCATTAAGATAATTTTCTTAAATAGAAAAAAATAAAAATATTTTGAACGGTCCAAACAGCGGTGATTGTTATTTTGATGTAAAAACACTAAGTTATAGATGGGCTAACATAACTTAATAATAAATTTGAGAAATTTGGTTATAAAAAGTTGAAAACATATTACAAATCAATCCATTATAAATTTAGAAGTTTTGTGAATTTTAAATATTTTGTAAAAATTAGAAAACTAAGTCATAAAAAAACAAAATATTAGTTACAATAAATTATACAATAATTTTAACTTTTAATTAAGAAAATAGAAAGTATAACGTAAATTGTAAAAACTTAGTCGAAAATTATTAATAGCTCAACTAGGGGACTTAAAAAATTAACTAACTAATATAATTCATAATTGATATATAAATAATATTTTTATTTTTTATATTTAAATCTTTTAGTTTTTACATCTTATACTTCTGCAATCAATTTGTTTAGATGAGTGAGGTGGTCTATCAAATGAAGCATTTGTTACCTCCAGTAATCAATTCTTTAAGTTAAATCACATTGATTTGATTTAAATATATGCCAACTACCAATAAGGAATGGAGGGTTGAGTCTAGTAAAATGAGCTAATTTCCATACCAACTATATAGACAAATGAGACATTCGATTAAATTCAAGAAAAAGTGAATATACAAACATATCATATGTGGAGGCGAACAAGACACGATACTAAAAGTCTTCTTATGGATAAGAGATACTAAAAGTCTTTATTTGTAAGGTAAACTAATTTTTATTTCTTTTGACCCAAAAAAATTAATTTTTATTTTTTGTTCATATCAATTTAATCATTATTTATTGTTAATTATTTAAAATCTAAATCATTACTTATTATCATTATTTAAGTGATAATCAAATCACTCTTAAAATTATTTTAGGAGATCAGTGTGTGGTGAGAGATTATAAAGAAATTATTCAAGAAGTGATGAAGTTTAGAAGTTGTTTAGACCAAAATGAAATTCGGTTACACAAAAAATGATGATTATTGAAAAACTCGTTCCTACTTAAATGAACTTTAAAAGTTATTCAAGTCTTCAACAATTTTGATTATAGTATTTTAGAAAATAATTCTTATTACGTAGTATATGGAGCTTTTTTTTTTATCTGCTTACAGGGTATTAGTAAAAAAACCGCATCTGTGCACTTGCAATGGCAGTAGCAGTCCTACTCTTTCACTTTATGACGTAATTGTCATATTACTTTATCTGTCCGCGCATTTTGGCTACTATCTTTCCTTCAATGCATGTACGAGGTGTCTCTGTTGACTTTGGTCGCCCCATTATTGCCTGGTTTTTTCTGGCAGTATTATTAGCCTCCCCTCCCCATACATATTTGTCTTACGCTTGGGGATGCTTGGAAAACCTAAAATCACTTTTTTAAAAAAATCACATAAATTAAGATAAAATTTTTGCATACTTATCTCAAACATCATAAAATCACTTCTTAAAAGATAATCTAAGCACCCCCTAGTGGGGATCTGTGATTATTTCCAAAGTTACTTTTATACACAAAACTTACGTACTTATCTTATATAACATGAAATCATTTAAATAAGGTTAACTTGCATTTAAAGAGTTCCTATAATTCTTAAGTAGCTAGTAAAATTTTGAACTACAACCCATATTTTCGGCAATCCTAGTGAAGGTAAATTGTGTTTTATTGCCTACAGGTAAAATACATAATAATTGTACCAACAAAGCTTGATACGGTTGGTAAATGTCTAGGTCCCTTAAACATGATGTTTTGAGTTTGAACCAGATCATGTGCATAAAAAAGACTTTGATGAGAGAGGCAAAACTCACTTGAGTGATTTTTATGTTTCGGGAGAATTAGTCTCTAGCTATCAGCTTGAGGATATTGTATGATTTCTACAAAATAAATATAATAATTGCTACTAAAAACTGTTAAAAAAAATTTTTAACGAAATATTTATCGTCCAAAGATGTCTAAGGGGGTGAAAACAGACACGTGGATTCGTTTAAATTAATATTGCTTCAAAAATTTTGACGGGGTTATCAGATATTCGAAAATAAGGCGGCAAAATATAAGCGTCACAAGCTAGAGCAAGAAGTGTAAGACAATTATTGTCCCAAAAATAACAGAAGGGTGAAAATGTCATTCTCAGATGTTTTAAAAGGGAGGGAAGGAAGGAAAGGAAGAAAGGAAAATCTTGAGGCACGGGTGTAAAGGGATTAGCTCCAGGCAAACGCTCAGACAAGTTTTGCTTCTTTCTTTTGTGATTTTTTTTTTTCCCGTGAAGGCCTGACATAAAAGGTAGATCACATTATATGGGCCTATGCCCAAATAAGCTTATTGCTTCCAAAAACCGTGGAGCTGGCTTGCTGACCCAGGAAGTGAAGGAATCCAAACTTGCATACATTTAGGGACCTTTATTGTTGGGCTTTGTGAATTTTGGTTTAACTGAATCCCGCGGACCCATAACTACCATTCAAATGGTTTAGGGAGGATGCCTGTGTCTTAAAAATAAAAACAAAAAGTTGATTAGTCACGCTGAAAATATGAGACTTGGGCCGAAAGCCTTGTAGCCCAATTGCGATGATGCTCCCATATAAGCAGGAAATTGCAAGTCCAATTCTGTTTGTAACCCTAAATTATTAGTGTTTGTCTTCGTAATTTTAAAAAAAGAATGAGACTTGGTTAAACTTAAATTTAAAAAAAAAAAAACAGATAGGTCATTGTTACAAGGATTTCTTCGACTAATTATCAGCATGACATATTAATTACCTTACATAAATTAAGAAAATTAGTTTAAAATTAATTAAATGTTGAGAAACTACATTAATTTTTAGAATAGCCTTTAATCAAGGTTAGGAAAAAAAAAGAGAGAATTCGGAATTCTTTTCTCACCATATTCTCTTGCCAAGTGAGAAGGACGAATTGAAAATTAATCACAAATATTTTATTAATCTTCTTGACTGGTCTTGCACTAAAGACCATGACAATGGATACAGTAGATGTAACTTGGTGTAAGCATTCATAGCCAGCCCCACTCCTGAATTCATGGTAAATTCGCATGTACAACATGAAACCATTCTCTTATTAATATCCAAATAAAACTTTAATAATATTAATAATAATAACAGACAAGGCATCAACGGTGAAGTACGGAGCAATCGGTGCGAATATTTCCATTGCGGGCGTTCTTGATACCGACCCGGCCCAACTTGGTGATGGCGGCGATGAAATTTTGCTGGAAAGTGTGGGCGCTGCTGGCGAAGGCATTAACGGCGGGTCTGGACCTCGGGTCGGTAAACAGGACCTGGTCCGAGGTGAACAGGCCCTTCCCTTGCTGCAGATTCTTGTAGTACTGGTGGTCGAAGGCCTGAGGTGTGGCCGGGTCCATGGTGATGGCTATCCTTGGATCCACGTTCCTCGGGCACATCGACCTCAGATCCGCCGCGTATCTCGCGTCTAGCGTGGGGTCCACCGGCATCTTACGGCTGTAATGGTATATCCTGTTCGCGAATCTGCTGCAGTGCGAGAATCCTAGGGTGTGTGCTCCTGCAACAACTCACAACCTCACTTAATGCCCTCACATTATTTTATTCCCCTATTTGTTTTTGCCATTTGCATTCAATTCATAATCTCTGATTTACCATTCCCTTATTATTTGTAGCTTGTACCGAGAAATTTTGGCTTCTTAATTTGTGAATTGTATTTTTTTCAATGTTTTATTTTCAATTCTATCCCTATTAATTATAATGAAGGTGAAGAACAAAGGGATGAGTGAGAAAAAGTATAATGGTCCTTAATGCTCTCCTTAATAAGGACAAAAATAAAAATTTTACCTATTTAATACTTTTCTTAGCGTATGAAAAACTCCTGCAAGTAACAGATAATACGGACTAGAGAGGTACTACTATTATTATTATAAATTTGAGGGTGAACTGATAAATTTGTGCCTGATTTATATGATTATAATTTAAATAAATTCATTATCTCCTAGAGTATGTTTTAATTGATTTATACACTCAAAAAATATTAGATGCTTTTTTTTAAAAAAAAATCTATTGAAATGGAATAAATCATGAACCACATAGTATAAGGATTTTTTCATGTTCCCCCCTTCATTAATGAATGATACAAAACATGGGCCCAACCAAATGTCCATTAGTTTTCATTGTCTCTTCTTTTCAGCAAGCCCATTAATGCGAGATGCTATTGACCCACATGCATGGTCGAGCAGAGAAAAGCAGGAAAAGATAAGGCGACTGGGACTTTGATCCATTTGGGCGGTCACCCTATGAATGTAATGAAATAAACGAAATGAGTGGAAAAGCAAGTGGGGCCCGCCATATTTACCTGAGAGGGCAATCATCTCCGTCTGGGTGAGGCCGTTGGAAGCAAACAGAGAATTGAGCTGATTCAAGTTGAAATCAGGGCGAGGCAGCCTCCCATTCACACTCGACGCCTTCGACTCCAACCCATCGTACCTCCCCAGTTCAACCACATAGAACGGTCCTCCAGCCTATCATCGATAATGATTCTAAATTATTCATTATCAATTCATACATACATATATATATCTTCCATTGAGAAAACTTGATGGATCGATCAGCACAAACCAGTACGACAGCCTCACGAGTGGCGAGAGCCAGAATATCGGCACACGACACTTTGTTTCTGCACTGAGGAACAGCATCCACCGCAGCTTTTGCTTTGATCACCGTGTCGAACCCATCTCCGGCCAGTGACAGATTATCCGGGTGATCCTTCTCTGCTTTGTTGTTCTTCGTGGATGCTACCAGAATCGAAGCGTCGCATCCCTGTACGTACCAAACATTCATACATATATATCAGAGTTTGCACAAATTGAAACTTGAACTGAACTGTTCTGGGATGATGATAAGGAGTCCGGTTGGTAATTACTTACATGGACGAAGCAGTCATGGAAGAAGAGACGAATGGTGGCGGGGGCAGTGACGAATGTCTGGTGAAACTTCTTTCGAACTGCTTCTCTAACGATCTTCTCCAGATTAGGACAGATTTTTGAGTAGTGGTGTGGACTGAGCTGAGCGCAAGTGAAGTAGGGATAAAGACAGAGACTTAGAGAAAGTGAACAGACAAGAATGAGATTAGGACGCCGACCCATCTGCAGTTTCTGACAGTGGAAAACAGCGGAAATTTGTGGGATGGATGAAATTGGGAGTGAAGGAGTGATATGATTATATGCAGCAAAAAGTTAGAGACAGTGTGATACATATATAGAGTATATGGGTATGAAGGTCACGAGCTAGCCAGTTGTACTGGGCGCTCTCAGAGCAAGAAAGGAATTTCTTTTGAATAATGATAATAACAACTGAACAGTGCGCTGTGAGAGGTAAATAAACTGTTGAAACTTGATCTGTGAATGCCATCCTTTGTCTTTATTAATATATCCCCATGTAATCGTTAGGACTTGTAGGGCCTGATTGGAATTGGAATTCTCAATTCCCAAAAAGAAGTGGACCAACCCGGGCAGCAAGTTAATGAAAACATAATAAAGGATAAAGGTCCAGTGTCTTCTACAAACTTTTGTTATATTATCATATACTGGTATATATTGGTCTTCTGTAAGATCTAAACAGAGGGCAGATAGGGAAAGAAAGAACTGGACCATATATACATAGGCTTGGTTTAATCTTTTTCAAAAGTAAGGTAAAGAATAGTGATGGGGAATATGCTTTTTGAACAAGAATAGGGAGTATTATTCACGCTAAGGTTAGGCAGATAAGTGTACTTGTTTTGTTTGTTTGCTTAAGCTGGTGGAGGGGATTCACTATTGTTTTCTATGGGTGGGAGCTAATTAAAGTGAGATTGGAAGGCCCGGATCCTTGCTAAGCCATTGAGGAATCATGCACTCATTTTGGTATAACTTAAACTATCCTCTAATTATTTTGTGTGCAAGACTAATTTCTGTCGGGTTAGGAGTACTAAGGTTAAAACTTTTTCAATAAGTATGTTTTTCAGGAGTTGAGCTTATGTTATCCTTCTTATTTGGTAGGAATCATGCACTTTTACTCAAACTCACTCATCCAATTTTGTTTTTGTTATTGCTCATCCACTCATTCATGCTTGTGCTCCTATTTCTAAGTACTCCCATCTTATCCATGTTAATCTTTCATAGAAATAGTCATCATACAGGGGTAAAAACTTCACAAGTGGCACATTATCAGAGGATTGCGGTGAAATTCAAAATAGTACTAACATTTATGCAAGGAACAATTTTCAAGATTGCAACGTTCTTGTTGTGAAAAAAACCCTACAAAAATCAACTTGTATACTCTACACTCTGGACAGAGCAAACTTCTCGAAGCCTGCTTGGGACTTATGGGAGGGCAAATTTAATAAAAATGTTGAGTTGACCAGAGCAATAATTAATTTTATTGTGGAAGACTCAAACTATTAGAGAAAGAAAAAAGTCATCTTTCATTCTGTTTTGAAGTTTTTAAAAAAGAACTGAATCCTAATCACGTTGCATATTTCACCGATCCGATCTGTATATATATAAGCTATTTCCAAGTGGCAGTGTTTCGTTCTAAATTAATTGGTATTCATTTATTGAGCATAGAACAATAAAATTGAAGAAACCCTCTCTGTCTATGTTTCATTTAATCAATATATATATAGCTCAAATCTAAGATCCAGTGAACCTAAATTATTAATAATAGGCAAACTCAAAGAAAACAAAGACGACATGTGAAATGCTTTTAATCAGAAAGAAAAAAGTTAAAGGAAAATATCCCGAAACTGTACATACTTTGTATTTTATGGGCAACAGATTTGAAGTACGTTTTCAAATGTGAGTAAGCCAGCCACATGAAATCCTGAAACTATTTGCTCACCAAACATAAGTCTAAAGTGTTTGAAATAATGTAGCCGTTGGGGACAAGAATTATTATAACAGCGAAAGCAAAGAGCTAATTAATGAATGGTCCAGGACATAGCACATGGCAATCACTTTGTCCAAAGGCAAAAGAATAATTAGGAAGATGTTGAAAGATATTGCAACTCAAAAGGGCACTGGAAAAGAGAATTTTGATGTTCAAGTCAAGGGGATGGGCGCGAGTGTGCATGATTCAAACAAAGTGAAAAAAAAAAATAAGGAAAGAATTTGGCAGTTTGATTGGGGCAATAGTGATTGGGAAAAGGGGCCGAAAAAGGAGAAAAAGAAAAATCTCATGCATTCATCATAATTACCTGCATAATAATTGGTTGCTCATGCACGTAATCTTATATATTCCGCGGCTTTTCCTCCTTTTTAAGAAATCTTTTTTATGTACTTTTTCTAATATTTTTTGTTATTAAGTTTTATTTTTTTATTTTATAACTTTATTATCAAAGTTCATCATAATTAAGCATACATAATATCTATACATGTCAGTTTGTCACTGTCGCACAATTCATATGTTACAAAATAAACATTCAGTGTAAAGTGTGTGAGAATTAATTATAGCTTTTAAATAAATTGGATAAATATCTCATAAATGTTGTCCAAATTATATATGTATTCTTTAGTCTTTAAAATGTACTAAATCTTTTCTTTAAAAAATTATTTTACGTTCATATGTAATTTCAATATTTTAACTGACATACTACTTTATGTATGCTAAACAAAAGTTTTTTCATAAGGCTAGCCTTAAAAAGCCTAAACAGGGGATATTTGGATAAAAAAAAAGTTTTAAATTTTGAATGAAGTGTTTGAATTTTTTTTTAAATTTTAAGGAGGTTCATCATTTGTGTATATCACAAAAATAAAATTCAAAAGATGTTTATATCATTTATTCTAAAATTTTTAGTTATAGACATGAGGATATTTTTTTAGTGATGAAACTTATATGATACTTCTCCGGTCCTAAATATAAAACCCTTATACCACTGGTATAAGGGTCTTATATTTAAGAGCGGAAGAGTAAATATATATAATTTTAATATACAAAATTATATTTCCAAATTTTGATATTAAATCATATTTTTTTCAAGAATGAGGCATTAATGTTATACTCCGATCCTAAATATAAGGCTCATTTTGTAGTGTAAATTACACTACAAAAATATTATATTTAGAACCAGAGGAGTAATATTTATTGAAAATTTGTCAAGAAATAGATAAACAATCACATTTTAGTTTAACTATTTAAAAAATTTGATGTCGTCAGGAATTAAGTTTTTGTTTTATAAGATCTCTCTTGGAAATTTAATTTATTGTCATATATATATAAAGAAGGAAGAGTCTCAATTAAATCCAGATAAAATTAGAACATATTTCTTATATACAAGTGGATGCGCATTGGCTCTATTTTTTCTAATGAAAAATATAATTCAGAATGAATAATAAATAAATAAAAACTGATCCAACGAATGAGATAATATAACCTCTTCCCATTTTAAAACAAACATTTGTTGGACAAAGCTCCCTCATCTTTTTCCCCAGTCCGAAGCGTGACAGCCAGAGAGTGGATTCCGTCGGTTGGTATAAAGTTGTTATCCGATGTGGGACAATTTGTTGCTTATAGGAAAGTTATAAAACTTCCTCATTTGTTGTTCTTTTCTTTCTTTTTTAAATCTTTTGGATAGTGCCTCTCTTTTTCCCTCTTGTTGCTTCCCAGCTTCAAAAGTCTGGCTTGCATTCATCTCTCTAACCAATGATGTTTATACAATTATGCCATAATTACTGGACTTGCTTCTTCCTTTTCTTTTTAAGGCCAATACGCTATAATCACTTCAATCATGTCTTAATCCTGTATTTTTAAATTACAATTTGTATCCCTTTTCAATCTAATTGGCTTCAAATCAAAGCATGATCCCATTTCCCACCTTAATAAATTTCATGTCTTTTAAGACATATTCCGTAATTATTGAACGAGCTTTACGTATTTAACTTTGCTTCTTTTTGTCCTCAGTAGCAATATTTTATTGGTGAAGACAAATATTACTGCTATGCGTTAAAATGATTTACCAGCCGATCAGTGAAACATTTTAAAAATAATTTTATTAAAACATCCAGGTACCCATGTGCAGATATATTCAAATTTGTGCAAACCATCCACAAGAAATTGGGGGTGAAAAGTTACTTCCCGTTGCCGACACATTTTGTGGACAATGACCTTTCTTTTACAAGTGTCTTGCACAGTCCTAATATTCCAGAAGATATAATCTGTAAAGTGCTATGACCTCCGGTCATTAATATAAAATTTAATCCATTGATTTAAATAAATTAAAAAACTAATTAAATTAGTTATTTATAATAAATATGTATTATCTTTTTTAAAATATCCTTACTAATAAAGTATATTAGCTAAAACTACTATTATTACAAAAGCTATCTTGAGAAAAAAATAGATAAATATGAAAGACAAAATAGATTAGATTCTTATATTTATTATTAAAATAAAAATCAAATAAGTTATTCTATTAAGAATCAGAGGTAGTATTAAATTTTAAGGTCGTGCTCGGTTGGGGTAACTAGGGGAGGGGAATTAAGACTTTCTTTGTTGGGGGAATCACAGTGAGAGCAACGTCCTAAAGAAGAAAAATTACTACCAAGTTTAAATGATAAGTTAATAATTGTCATTTACTTTTAAAACGTGTGGATTTTTTTATTACTATTGGGAGCTCTTAGTAATTATGTTCGTTACTTGAGATTTCACAGTAATTTCTTATTTTGAAAATAATTTTTTATTTTTAAAAAAATAAAATAAAATAAACCTGGTTGATAATTTGCTTTTAGTTAAGTGTTTTTTTTTAAAAAAACATAGATCTGTTTTTAAAAAAATTAAAAAAACCAAAATTAATTTTAGTTGTTTTTTTTTATTTTGCATCACTTATTTTTTTCGTTTGAGAAAATTGGCAAACATTTTTTTTCTCTGCATGGCTTTTTTTCCTGTTTGAATATTTGAGTTCTTATCGAAGTTTTACTCTCCCAACTCAATATGTTTATCTTTAAATCTAATTTTTTTAGAATAATTATTTAAACATGTTTTTTAAAAACTTGTTTTATAAAACTATTTTATAAAATTATTTTGAAACAAAGACAAAAAACAGAAATAAACGAAATTTCTGAGAAGAAATATACACGCCTTACTTATTTTATCAAAAAGCTTAATTTGTCTTACGCGTCCTGAGAAAAGTTTCACACTTTCCTCACAATTGGAGAAGTAGCTTCTTGAGTAGAACCCAAATAAGTTCTGGGTTTGCATTGGGTGCTCATCAGTTTTGATGAGCACCTAACTGAACAGTTCAA